ATACTAGATGTTGAAACGTGGGCGGACAATAACGACTATTTAGAAGGCTTATGAATTGTTAAAAATTTACAAGTAGTTAATGATGTCGCCGAAAGAGCAATTAAATTAACTCAAGAGTATATTAATATTTTAACAACACGAGAAGATCAAAAACAATATTTGATACAAGTTGTAAGTGAGTACAAGAAAAAATATCCTAATGCGACCAAAGCTTGCTTAACAAAAAAATTATAAAGAAAGAAAAATAATAATAAATCTGCTTATAATATTATAGACAAAGAAATTTTTACATTTTTATTTCACCATTTTCCATCAATTTATTTTAAAGTATGTCTGTATGCGGAAAGGTATGTTATTTCTTTTATTTCTCATAAAAAAGTTTTTTTCCTCTTGATTTTCTGTTTAGGCCATTATATCGACATAAATGATCATTGGTACTCTATTGATAATAATAATAATCTTTTATTTCAACGATTTTATAGCCAAAAAAGGTAAAAATGAAAATAAAATTAAAAATATCATAGAATTGACAATAAACCCAAGTTTAACGTTGAATAACTTTTGAAGGAGTTGTTTTATCGAAAATTCATAAAAGAACTTTTTTGTAGAGCGTTCAATTTCCTACCAGAATATGCATCGATCAAATTTTTACTCTCATTTGTTTCTGAGAAAAAAAATTAAAAGTAAAAAGTCTAAAAATCTCATGTTATTTAAATGGGAAATATAACATGATTCCGGCACGGGTTAATGTGAAAATTAAGAGCCCATTTGTGTTGGATATTTTTTTTTAGGTCATAAACTAAAGATTCAGGGGGCGATTGCTAAAAAAAAATCGATTTGGGAAATAACGGACACCCTACTGTTCATATCTGATCAGATCTGATCATTTTTTCCGGGGATGGCAATCATTTCTGATTGCTTGAATCATGATGCAATTGCTGTTCATTTGTACTCTGGGGTCATTATCGATTTCATAAAATTTTTGTCATCTGGAGTTCGTAAAATTTTTTTTTTCTCGGATGGCGCGCCACAACAGTATAAAAATTTCAAACATTTTGCTAACTTATCACATTACAATGAAGAATTTGGAATAAACGTAGAGTGGAAAATTTTCGTTACGGCACATGGTAAAGGTCCATGCGATGGAATAGGTGGTACTTTGAAACGAATGGCTGCACGTGCTAGCCTACAATTGCTACCTCATCTACAAATTCTAACACCATCACAATTATTTGAGTGGGCTTTGAAAAATTTACCAAATATAAATATTCGATTTTCAAAAGCTGAAGAATACAATTCCATGAAAGAGAAATTAGAAGAACGCTTCAAAAATGCTAAACCGATACCAGCGACACAAAAAATTCATCAAATTACTCCATTATTGAATTTTGTTGTAATAGTTAAGTCTTTTTCTTCGTCGGAACAATCCACACAACACAGTACAGTTAAGAAACCAAGAAAACCATTGTTAAATCGAGGAAAATAATTATAATATTTAAATTTTTAACATTGTAACAACGATATTTTAATAAAATAACTAAATCCTGGCTGTAAATACACTAAACGATTGTTTTTGTACAATTCTTTCAATTTCTAAGATTTTAAAAACAATCCAAAATATTTTAACGCAAAATTATGTAAAATAAGCTAATTTTAGAATTTTTTTTTCTTCAATCGAAAAAAAAAATAGAAAGAAAAGTCGGCACAAAATAAAAATAGCGGGGTCAAATATTGTCTTAGTTGACGTTTTTTTTGAGATAAAAAAATTGAGAATCGAAGGTTTCCAACTTCGAAAAAATTATGGTTTTATTGAAAAAACTGAAATATTTTATATATCGGAACTTCCGAAAAATTTTTTGTATTTTTTTCTGAAAACTACAATTAAAAACAAAATTAAAGAAAAAAAAAAAGTGCCAAAAGGTCAATTTGTGTCAAAGTTACAGCAATTTGAAAAAAAAGAGCGTTTTTTTTTTCAAAAATTCGTAACTTTTTTAAGGTTGGGTAAAAAAATCTGAAAAAATTTAGAAAAATGTCTTTGGTAGGGTAAAAAATGATAAAAAATTTTCAGAGAAATCGAAGGGGGTTGGGCCGAAACCTCGGTGATTTGGCATGGAATGCCCCATATATATATATATATATGTAGATTTATAAAATTATCTATGCATACATAAAATCGCAAAAATGATCCTAAGAAATTTTTAAGGTGTTCCGTTGCTTTAAAATTTATAATTAGTTTAAAATTAAGGGAATAATAGCGGTAGAATCAGAATTATAAGCTCAAATTTTGATGGAATTATTTGTTTAGTATATGGAACTATGTATTGCAGGAGGGCCTGGGTAACAATTTTAAAACTTGACGAAAATATGAATTTTTGTGAAATTTAATTTTTTTATAAGTTAATACTGATCCTATTATTTCATCCGCAAAATACTATGGATTAATGATATTTTTAAAAGGTATTTTTTATAATTTGACGCAATTTTCGATTGCGTTTGAAATTACTAAAAATTCATCATTATCTCCGAAAATATTGATTTTAGCGACTTGGTTCTTAGGACCTTTTTTGTAGGAAATTAAATTTTCTACAAGTTTGTCGTTTACTTTTTTTCTGTAGCTCTTGTCATTTACGAGATAACTGTGAAAAAACGTGAATTTCATGGAAAAATCAAGTTTAGAGGCCTGTACTATCTCGCTGGTTCGAGTTACGACTTGGCCGCAATGGACACTTTTGTAGAGCATTCAATTCTGAAAAAAACCTGTCCATGGTCAAAGCGATGCTATGAAATGCCACTGAGTTACAGAAATTTAAAGACAAAAAAATCAGAGTTCCTGTGTTTTTTAAAGGGGATATCTTTAAACGCCTGGGTCGAAGTCTTAATATTAATATTAAGGGCCCAAACTTTCAGAGTATTTTTACTTGGGTACTTGCAACAAAATTTCACGATGGGACCGAAAAAAAAAATAGTTGAAAAAAAAGCACCCTAAATCTATATACATATAAGCGAAATACCATTGACTCATCACCAGATCTCCGAAATTATTGGACCGATTCATTTAAAATTTGGCATAGGTACTCCTTTTTCACCGTAGACGAGAGATAAGAAGGGATTTTGCGCAATTCCTAGCCAAAATGGATTTTTCGATAACCATCATGTATGCTACCCCCTCTCCTCCCTCTCATTCTCCCCCCCCCCTTTCCGTGCCTTCTTCCCCCTTCCCTATCTCTCTCTTTTTTTTTTGGGGCGGGAAAATATCATTTTGATTCTCCAATCTAAGAAACCATCAGTGGCACCTATCAATTATAGAACTCAACCCCACCCTGATAAAAAAAAAGTATTGAGACAAAGAAAAAAGTATTGGTTTTCTAGTCAATCTAATACTTTCCAATACTTTTTTCTTTGTCTCAATACTTTTTTTTATTCAGGACACCCTACCCTCCCCACAACCGTTTCCATGGTTAGCGTTGCCATGGTTACCGTTGCCATGGTTACCGTTGCCATGGTTACCGTTGCCATGGTTATCGTTGCCATGATTACCATTACCATGGTTACCGTTGCCATGGTTACCGTTACCATGGTTACTGTTACTGGTGTCACGTTAAATGATTCCCGGAATTTAATACCGCGACAAATAATACCTGTAATTTGATCCCAGCGTCAATTGATCCCACCGACAAATGATCCTACCGACAAATGATCCCAAGGTTTAGCGGGGTCCGGGGCGAAGCCCCCCATTCAAAAAAGTTATTGAGGTTCGTGGCGAAGCCTCAGAGGGGTCCGGGGCGGAGCTCCGATGGGGGTTGGGGGGCGAAGCCCCCATTTAAAAAGAAATGAATTATTATTCTACACAACAGTCAACGCTCTCTGTATTTGACTCGTCAAATACAGAGAGGTCAAATACAGTTAGCGTCGACTGTACATCTAGTAAGATCGGGGCAGCGTCTTGGTGGGGGTTAAAAGCATTATACAAGTAGTTTTAGCTGCAGTAATTATCTATGAGTCATTAGTTGCATGAGTAACTTCTGTTGATGTGTCTGTACTGTTGAAGCGTATTAAATTATTGATTTTTTTCTGTTAAATATATTGTTTTAAGTTTGTTTATATATTAAAAAAATACTTAGTCAACCGGGTAATCCATTACTCGTCCATGATGGTTATATATTTTCAATACATCGTGAATCCGAAAATTGTGTCAACTGGCGATGCTCAAAATATAAGAATTCCTGTAGTGCACGTTGTCAAACGAATCGTAAGGATAAAAGAGGTATGTCAATATTTAATTTCATTCATCTTTGTATTATTAATATTCGCTAACATGTTTACTGTTTGTTTAAATAGGTAAAATTACAAATGAATCAGGTAAACATAATCACCTGTCGGAACCTAGTGTAATCGAGGTAAAAGTACTTAAGGAAAAGATTAAGATGAGGGCCGCAAAGACTCAAGAATCCAATGGCGTTGTTATCGCATCAGCAATACAGAAAGTATCAAAAGCTGCGGGTGCAGAGTGCCCTACACGCGAAGCAATGACTCGAAT